GAAGCAGCTCTGCTACCGATACGGTTGTAGGAGAAGCAAACATAATTAGGTCGTTTCTTAGGTCAAAAATAAATTAATCTGACGTTCCAATACAATAAAATATTGAAAAATAAATTATACTTTTATTCATTGATCAGTCGATACACAATATTTTCGATTTTTTTAAGGAATAAGCAAGCTTTGTACCAAAATATTACGACGTCATAGTTTGTAGTTTCATGTATTTATACAAATTTCAAGGAAAAATATCGTTTCTGTCATTTGGACATATAAAAGTATTGACTGTTGGATACTAACGTATTGTGATTTAAAGTGACAGAAGCTTATGTAGGTATAAATAACATTACATTACATATTGGCGCGTTGGATAAATCTTTCCTTGAGTGATGCAATGTTAGATGTTGCTAGGTAACGCGTTACAACACGCGGCTCGCAGACGTTCACACTCTACTTACCCGACTATGAATAAACATCCTAAATCTGAGGCTATCTCTAAATCTAATTGGGTTGCACGGTATAGCTAGAAAATATCAGAATTGTATTATGTAGGAACTATACCTATTTTTGTAAATGATATAAATGAATAGGATAAAATCATTCAAGTCTAATGAAAAATAATAAAATGACTTAGGGTTGCGTTTAATACCTCTAACTTTTTAACTTTACGATTAAGTTATCTGTTAAAGTTATAGTATTTTAAAACTTAAGGACACGAAACTTATCTTTTTAAACTTTTGTTTAAAGTTAGTTAAGTATAAGTATCTGATAGTAAACCCATTTTTTTATCTATTAAGACCTTTTATTAGTTTTTTTTTATAATATCGTAGCCAGTAACTTGTAACTTAACCACAACAAGAATATAGAATTAAATTAGTGTGACCTAATTAACGAATGGTCATTAATATTGACGAAGGTTTTCTAGACGCAAGATCAGTTACGTTACTAGCAGGTAGACTACCTCCCTATTGGTCACTTTTCTTCGTGTGTCGGTGCGTGTATCAAACAATTGTTTGCGTGTCAACAACAATTATTGTAGCTTCGACAGTTGCCATCAACACGAAATAAGTGTAAATTGTGAAAGTATTAAGTCAATGTAAGCAACTATCTTTAAAAACTTATTTAAATTAAATCGTCATTTTTACTTTCCAGTTGAAATTGACATCCGATTTGATTGTTTGCTCAGTAATCAGGAAACGTTTACTAATATTAGTTTACAAACAGAGACAACAACAATGGCTGCGAGCGTCGACCTTGAGGTCTTCACCGAACAATCTCAACAAAATCAATCGAAATTACATTTAACGAGGTGTGCGCGTGAAAGCTTTGAACTTGTACGATGTTTGTCGAACGTATTAAACATTTGACGTGTAATCGATCAGCCGGCTCGTGCTTAAAACAGCCGTAGTTCCGGCCTGCCGTTTGACATTGTGCTCGTTTTATCTGCTAACACAAATACCAGCCAAACTTTCCTCTTTGTGACTACAATGTTAGTCACATCGCATGGCCATTTGCATTCAGTGTCGACCGGCTGCCAATATCTTGAAATTGATACATTAGCCTGTATGCCCTACATAACATACGATTTATTATCACTTCCGAAGAGGACTTAAATGTAGAATCTGAATAGATTTTCTACTGTGTCTCTTAAGGTAATTTGGTCACGTGGTTCCCATTCGTTTAATCAAATCTTATAACCTACGCTTCGAATGTTGTGATAGCTCTGCACTTATTTTAAATTGATGCGATGCACATAGAAAACATGTTTTGCTTTGCTAGCCATCTATTTTCGAAAACAAATAGTGCATACATTTTTTGTAGCTTATTTTCTAGAGATCAATGTTCGGGCGTAAAAATTAAATAGAATAATATCCGAAAGATAATGTGCTAAACTTTCTAATGGAATAAATAAATATCGGAATAGTTTACTGGCAAACAAGCTAGTTTTCATCATACGCTTGTAATATTAATGGGTAATTTATTACCCGTGTGGCCGAACCGCCTTACCACTTGCCGTGGCAAACATCATAAGAAATTCACCGTATATGTCGAATGAATTACTTATGGGTTCCATAGACACGACACTGGACCTGCGCTCCATTACGAAAAGGTCGGTAGTAGCGTTATTTCATATTTTTGGACCTAAGTAGGACTACCGCTCCGCCCACGCCGCAGCAATTAATAATATCTTATGTGTTAATCGAGGTCAGGGTCTATCTTTATGTCAAAATTTCATCAATATTGGACTCGGCAATGTCAGTTTTTTGACTTTTTATGTATAAGGTAAATTTGTCCGGCAGTTTTTTATAGTTTAACAATTGGAAATGGCAACATAAACACATGAAAAAATAATGTGGTGGTTTTGTCTTTAGGATGGTACCTAGTTGAACTTCGTATTGTACCTACTGTATGACAAAATTTTATTTTGCAAATGATGGCTCCATTTACAATTTTCAATCACCACCCATTTTTCCATGACCTTAAATCCCCATATTAAATGCATTATTAAACGTTTTATTTACCCTACGTGTGGGATGTGTCCTCGGACGTATCCTCGACATTATCGACCGCGTGTTTGGAGTTAACGCTTAAACCTGCACTGCCTTGAGGCATCTCAGGTCGATTAATCAACGCACTTGCGTATAATTATGACGAACTAAAGCGTATTTTCGTGTAATAAATATCGTGAGACATGTGTACTACCCGCATTCTATTGAAGCAAATCGTACAAATCAAACATTTTTGTTCAAAAAAAAAAAATTGCTTAGTCATTCTTTGTTTTTTATTTTTCTTTAATCTCCTTAAACCAGAAAAAAATAGGTATACTCAACTACTTTTCAAAATAAAAAAAATACTTAAAAAATAAACACCTTTCACATTTTTTATGCATAGTTTTTCATTTTTTAGCAAATTTAAGAGATTCAGGTGTGCTATTTGACGCATACAATTATGACGTCACAACGTGCATACATTCAAAGGAAATTGTGGTTTTAGACATTTCGAAAAAGTATTGATTTAAGCTATTTTCATACTACTCTATTAGATTCATTAATACTGGTGATGGCACCAGATGGAACCAGATTCAAGTACCTAGATATTATCAGTATTTTCTACTAAAGATTGTCTACTATAGCCCTTTTCCACTACCGGACAACGATGACACCACATTATTGGTTGGCCTACCAAATCGTCCGGTTTTTTGTGCTTTAAATAACAACTTATAGCTGTATATTAGATGATTGAGTGTGACAATCGAGAGTTCGAGACTGATGGCGTAATATACGCAAGTGTTGACTTTGAGTTTTTAATGTAATTGGTCGGCAAACGAGCATACGGATTACCTGATGGTAAGCAATCAGCGCCGCCCGCAAAGGAGGAGTTACGAGTGCGTTGCCAACCTTTTAGGGATTAGGGTTTTGGAGATTTAGGGATTGGCAGGAAACGGGGGAGGGTAAGGATTGGGACTCCGGTAACCTCACTCAGACGGCGAAACACAACGCTGTGGTTGTTTCACGCCGGTTTTCTGTGAGGCCGTGGACTACGGTCGAGCCCACCCATTCGTGCCGAAGCTTGGCTCAGATAAGTTACAGAGAAATTCGTCTTGCCTTAATTGCTGTGGGCACTGCCGGAATATACTTCCGCGTGACCATGACAAGAGCTCGAATTAAACCAAAAAGAGATTACGAGGGTCGCAATTTACATTCCGTTTTATGTTATTAAATTAAGCGTAAACTTGACGATGGCCCTAAACACGTCTGTGGAATGATGTACACTGATATATAGATTACGTTAAACCCACACAAAATGCCAAAACAATAATTCCGTTTATTTAGTGGCCGGCTGCGTATTGTTTTTAAAAACTAACACTCTGTTTAATGGGGCGAGGTCATATTTAGCGTAGTATTCAGTCAACTGGCTATTGGAAAAAAATTAAACTGTTGCAAATTCGACTTCCGTCTTGAGTACACAGACTTCAGAAACGTGCTAAAAGTACAGGCCACTAGGACGAAAACAGGCAATGGGGTAACATTTTAAACAATGAGTGTAAACTTAACTACAACTTGCTCAGATGTCAAGTAATATTAGTGTGGGTGTATGTCGTAAATACAGTAACTCTAGCTAACTAGCGTCGGTCGCAAGAAAAACTTCTAGTGTTTTTCTATTCTAGAAGCTTTCAGGCGATCGTTATCGCGCCTGATTGAGCCGATTAACAGAAATAAGTACCGTCGGCGGTAAATAAGTAGCACCGTGTAATGATTCCATTGCTAATCAGTAGATTACAAGCTCAAGCTATCACACCACTCAGCTTTAGTGTACACAAACAATTTTATACAACACACTCATGATAGTGTTGTAGGCAAAACAATTACAGAATTAGGATTTTCCTTTTAAATTGTTGCTATTGTTGTGTGCTGGGTGGATTAAACAATAGCCATTGTAATATTAGGTGTTATTTACATGGATAATTACCTGTTCCTAGTCTACTCCTGGTTCATATTTAATCCTGGGCATTGCATCTCATTGATTTTACCACTACATTATTGTAATGTTTATGCTAACTCATTTATGATATTGTTAAATACCTAAATGTATTTATCAGTTGGACAACATGACATTCTGATAAGCTGCCTTATTGCATATTTTATTGTTTTAGCTTTTAATTTATTTGTATATAAAGTTATATAAAATATGACTAATGTTGATCACAGTATAAACATGTGTTTTTATAGATTGTTACTGCTTGAATACCTTATAAAATATTTATGAAGGTAGATTTTGAGTTTTTTTTATACTTAAAGTTTTTGTGATGGGATAAAAACTTTACAATTTATGTGTTTTATGTATAAAGCTTAAATAAGATACAACACCAAATACAATCTCTGGTGCAAGCAATTTATGTTTTTTTTTAAATGCAAACTTTTAATATCTTTGAATAAAGTAGTAGTAGCAGAAAAAATCATAATAAACATATCTTAGAAACAGGTATATGAGAAGATACTTACTTTTTGAAGACTCTACAGAATGAGTTGTTTATTCTTTTATCAGAATTATGTCTCCTTCTATCTTCAAACAAGTCTTTGATAGCAGTCACACCGAGTACAAACAACACGGGCAACATGGCCACTTCTTTACCGAACGCACTGATTGCAGGCACCCAGTTCAACAACACTATGAATATAAAGTACACATTTGCAATTCTGTGGAATTGTTCAAATAAATTCTTGGGTAAAAATGATAATAAGGTATATTTTGTAGTCCTAATTTGATTGTCGCATCTTTTTCCATTAGGATGATCTTTGAGCGGTGTCTTGTCTGGCACCAGGTGGTTGGGAGTAACTATTAGATGCCGATTATCAACAACGGGCTGCTGACGTCGTAGGACCCAGAAGGCGGCGCGCCTCCAGGGGCTGACGACGGACGTGCGGCGGATGGTGTAGATGGAGTCGGTGCGCGACGCCTGCCGGGAGTGCATTCGCACGGAGCCGATGCGCGGCTGTGTGGCGGGTGGCGGCGGGTCGCGGTGGCCGGGCGGCAGGATGAAGTCTGTGCGGCTGCCGGCGCGGCTGTGGCCGGGGCCGCTGGTGGGCCGCCCGCCCTCGCCGATCTGTCCATGTGACAGAGCGCGCTGGTGGCCGCGCATCGCTGACTTGAGTGACGGTCTCGGTGCGGTGGGATTCCCCGCGAGCATTGGAGTGCCTCCATGACTTACAGACCTCGAATGACCTTTCGGTTTTGGAAACAGATAAGTCTGCTCCGGAGCCCCTGGCAAACATGGCACAGTAGAAGGTGTCTCTCCACTGCCTTCTGTTGACATTTTTATTCATTTGAACGGAGTTTACCCCACTTTTACCTTTCATTTAAAAGTGTTGTATTGTCACACCGTGTTTAGACGTATATGTTATTACTAAATTAGGGATAATGTGCCGTACGAATTCAAACATATGGTAGGAAGTCATCCGTTCACAGTTTCACACTTCACTAACTCAAATATTTTCGATTATCACTAAATGAATAGACGAGTTTTGTTGATACATGGGTTTGCATATTCTTAGAAGTTTGAAAATAATTGTTTGATCACCACAGAGCGTTTACACACAACAGAGTACGAAACTTAAAAACAAGCAAAAAAGACGAGACAAGTAACTGACTGAACTCAATGACTGACTGCCTGACATGACACTTGGTTCTTTGCTGCTTGGTCGTTTGACGTAATTGACAAATGACAGGACGTGTCACGAAATTAGTAGGATTGCCAGATTTAAAATAAAGAAGTATTTTATGGCACTTGTTAATTATTCATTGATTGATAATTGATTTAATGAATTTCCTTATATTTAAATGTTTTTATGTATTTTACAGTTCAAATCAGTAACTGAATTTATCGTTATCACTGTCACAACAGAAATATGTTCAGCATAAAATATTGTTGAGGACCAAGTAAAATTGTATTTAAAATATCGTCTACTGCTAAAAATATAGTATTGAAAGGACATGGCCAATTTTTGTATGGGCGTTTGCATAGTTATTTGAATTCAAGGCACATCAATGATTTTCGGTGTTTACATTCGTAAATATTGTTAAATTAAATTGCAATAAATAAAACACATGAAGAACTCGTCATTACAACACACAAGACGAAAATAGTTTCACTAAACCTTTAGTCGAAATAAGATTTGCTTTTAAAAACCTTAAGGCGTTTGAATTATTTATTTATTTATTAAATAAAACAAAAAAATAGGTATAAATAATAATGGTTTATTTATTAAGGAGAATAAATAAAATAAAACTACGTAATAATTCACTTTTATATATTTTTATTTTACAGTGTATTTTATTATGTTTGTGTATATGGAATGTTCGTTTCTGTATGGGCGTTGGCATAGTTATTGAATTCAAGGATTATCAATGATTTTTGAGGTTTTACATTCGTGAACATTGTTACATTAAATTGCGATAAATAAAACACATGAAGAATTTGTCATTACAACACACTAGACGATAATAATTTCACTAAACCTTTTGTCAGATTACTGGCAATAAGCAAAAAATAGGATTTGCTATTAAAAACCATAAGACGTATTATTTATTTATAAAATAAAACAAAAGAATTAATAATAATGATTTATGTATTAAGGAAAATAAATAAAATAAAACTACGTAATAATTCATTTTTCTATTTTTATTTTACAATGTATTTTATAATATTTGTGTATATGGATTGTATGTTTACATGCATTACTTTTACATTTTTTTAATAATAATTGTCAGGTCTGGAGAGGCTAAAACTACGTAATAATTCATATTTATATTTTTATTTTACAGTGTATTAATTATGTGTGTGTACGTGGAATGTACTTTTTTGGCCATGTCCTTTTATTTATTCAAATAAAGGAGAAAATAAAAGGAGGATAAACGAAATATTAAAGAATATGTCATAGAAGAAAATTCATTTGGGAAGAAAGTAGGTAGGTAATGTGTTTTCCTAAGATCTTTAGTTGCCACGTAAAATAAACAATAATAATATCGACTGTTTCCATAATATTTCCTTGCGCAACACTAACTCACACGTCGTCGTCATCGAAGTCGGCCATATTCTTTCCGACATTTTGACATTTACCACCCGGTTTGCGTTTTCGTATTGGAAAAACTTCTTGTAAATCCTTCAACATGGATGAAGAATACGACGCAATAGTCCTGGGAACAGGTTTGAAGGAGTGCATCCTAAGTGGAATGCTTTCCGTATCCGGAAAGAAGGTACTGCACATTGATCGTAATAAGTACTACGGTGGTGAATCTGCGTCAATTACCCCGTTAGAAGAATTGTTCGCAAAGTTCAACGCACCGGCTCCCGATGAAACATACGGTCGAGGTCGCGACTGGAATGTAGATTTGATTCCCAAGCTTTTGATGGCCAATGGCCTCCTTGTTAAGCTTTTGATTCACACGGGTGTGACTCGTTATTTGGAATTTAAGTCTGTGGAAGGCAGCTATGTCTACAAAGGCGGAAAGATTTCCAAGGTCCCTGTCGACCAAAAGGAAGCGCTGGCTTCGGATCTTATGGGGATGTTCGAGAAGAGACGCTTCCGCAATTTCCTTATCTACGTTCAAGATTTCCAGGAAGATGACGCCAAGACCTGGAAAGACTTAGACCCGAACACAGCCAACATGCAATCGCTGTATGACAAGTTTGGTCTTGACAAGAATACCCAAGACTTCACGGGGCATGCACTAGCCCTCTACCTCAATGATAACTACCTCCAGCAACCAGCTATCCAAACTATTCGCCGTATTAAACTGTACTCCGATTCACTGGCTAGGTATGGAAAATCTCCATACTTGTATCCTATGTATGGTCTTGGAGAGTTGCCTCAGGGCTTTGCTCGTCTCTCTGCTATTTATGGAGGTACCTACATGTTGGACAAACCCATAGATGAGATTGTTCTTGGAGAAGGTGGTAAAGTGGTTGGTGTGCGTTCTGGCAATGAAATAGCCAAATGCAAGCAAGTTTACTGTGACCCCAGCTATGTTCCTGACCGTGTTCGCAAGAAGGCCCAGGTGATCCGATGCATCTGTTTGTTGGACCATCCTATACCAAACACAAAGGATGCTCTTTCCACCCAAATTATCATTCCTCAAAAGCAAGTGGGCAGGCATTCCGATATTTATATTTCAGTTGTGTCATACACACACCAGGTAGCTGCCAAGGGCTGGTTCATAGCTATGGTGTCCACTACTGTTGAAACCAATGATCCCGAGAGTGAGATTAAGCCTGGCTTGGATCTGCTTGGGCCCATCCGACAGAAGTTTGTGTCGGTGTCTGACTACTATGAGCCCATTGATGATGGAACTCAGAGCCAGATTTTCATTTCTGAGTCATATGATGCTACCACACACTTCGAGACTACTTGCTTAGATGTGATTAAAATATACAAGTATGGAACCGGTGAAGACTTTGACTTCTCCAAAGTAAAAGTGGAGCTTGGGGAGGAGGAACAGTGAACTGTACTTTAGTATCATGTTTATGTACATTGCTTGTTAATTTTATATTTGTTTAAGAACTGTTCTGGCAACAATAACAATACTCTAGGGATTTTGGGTTAACAATATTAAGAGCTTATTGTAGGTCAAGTATTATGTATGTACAATGCTCACAGTCGTTCCAAAACTGATTTTATGCATTTGATTGCCAAAAATGAAATATTATTTAAAGGAATTTATACTTTATTTATAGCTGCTTTTTAAGTATACAAAGCTGTATGATCTGCACAAGTGCTAGGTTATTTGTACCAGAAAGTTATGCATTCCAATTGGATACTTGTTTGATTCTGTAACCATATCATATTTGTAACAAGTCAAAATTTATGAATGCTCATTATACCTATATGTTGTGTAAGATCATAAATAAAAGTTATAATTATAGAGGGGTGTTTTATTTTGTAAACAAATACAGGTACATAAACTATTAGTAGTCCTTATTTTTATTAGATATTTGTTATTAACTTGTAATAATTTTACATTTCTAAACAATTTCTGAAAAGACTAGATTCATTGATTATCATAATTCAAAGAGGTATCTTATTGAATACAAGTGGTCATCCCTACATCCAACATAAATAAAATCACCATATGTAACTGGTGTTGAAAATGTTTCACTTGGCAAACTGTATTCTCCTAACAAAACTCCAGTTTCTCTTTCAAGAATACACAGTTTTCCATTATTTGATACAGCCAGTATTAGTTTATCACTCAAAGCACAAGGAGTTGAGTACACCGGTGATGTCAGTTGGGTCTTCCAAAGAAGAGCTGGCTGAAAGTTTTTCACAGAGAGACTGTACACACCCTTGTCATGACATCCAAATACCATTTGCCATTTGAATTTATCTATTTGCTTTATATAAATTGAAGAAAATATATTTCCTGTTACACCCTGGTACTTCCAAATCTGAAATTACGAACAATAGTCAGATAAGTAAGTTTGGATACAAAATTACAGTCAGTAAAAATTAATATAGTAGTTAGTTACCTTGATGCCCTTCTCCACAGTTCTACAATGTATGTCGCCGGATACTTCAGCGAAAACTACGTATTTATCATTGTAATATAGAACAGGGCTGGCAAACAACGGGCTGCCCAGCAAGCCACGCCAAACCACTGTATTAGTAGTGGTTTGGATACAGGCGCATACACCTGACAGTGAGCCTAATATCACAAACTCCTTTTTCGCAACCACCAGGTCAGCAGATATGGCTTGGTCGCAAATGTTTATCGTAATGTCTGTTGTACCTGTCTAAAGAAAAATAGTAAACTTAAAACTTTATAACTTAAATTAAAAATTAGATTTTAGACTGTTTTGTAGAAAATAAGATGAACTTCACGCGTGAGATAGGAAGTGAAAGTTTGGTAGTCGCTTCCCGAAGGCGAGGGGGTTTCATGAGGATTGTGTATCTCTCTCTACATAGTATCTATAATATTGTTTTGAGCTAAGTTGTTATAAGTACCAGCCAACTGTGTTAATATTGGTATTGGGTACGCCCACTGAAGCAGAATAATGTGAGAGCAATTAAGTTTGAATATTATTGTATTAGTCATACATACATATGATAATGTAGGTAACAGACATCGCAATACAGTGTGATAACGCTTTGATAACAGGTCAATGATTTAATAAATCGATAGATTGTTTAGCAAAAATAGGGAGAATGAGTTGCGTAGGTACGTGTAATTTGCTGAAATAGCACGAGGCAACCACGAAGTTAACATTAAATTACAGGTATATGTATTTATCAGTTTGAATAGGTACCTATTAGCTGGTTGTGCAGTTACCTACTTATTAGTAATTTAAAATTTATTACTGCTTGCCAGTGGAGTTGGTAATTGGTAACACCATTTATTGTAACAGGTAAGCTATAGCTTGCTATAAATACAATACCTGGGTAGGTACCTCTAAATTAATAAAAAAATAATAAACGTATTTATTATAGTACCTACATTTATAATTCCATATTTATGAAAGCTATCATAATATTCAAATGATTATCAAAGAACAATACAATCCATTCTCTCAACAATAAAATAAATCATTTTATCGGGTTACTCGAGTAACTGTTCGATCGGGAATTCGAATAATTTCAAGCCAAACTACGGAGATGCGTTATGGCGTCTGGCGTAGCTTGAAACTAGTCGAGTGCCTCGTCAATTAGTTACGTAGGTAGGTAAGCTGCTATTTAATTAAATGCACAAGTCTCCCATAAATGTTAATGTTTATACCTACGTAATATTTGTTCTAAAAGCATACCGAAATGTTAAGACATCTAACATTGCCGTCGTAAGAGCCGACATACAGCTGTCCCTTTACGCAGGCCGCCTTGCTCTTGATCATGGAGCCGATATTAACTCTCCAGTTCTCCTTGAAGGTGTCAAGACAAAAGCAGATGATGGTACCGTCGTACCCGCCGACCACGCCGCATGGTGGAGTAATGTCTGAGTCGTAGTAACACAGGACAGCGGCTTCAATCCTTGAATTAATCAGAAACGTGGCCTGAAGCTCGCTGGTGATTGCGTCTAGTACCACAATCTGCCCTGAGTGACTGCCCACAGTTACATACAAGTTGCTGGAAACGAATAAGGTTAAATTGTACATTTGAACTAAACTTATGCTTTAATTTGGTAGCTTTTACGGGAGGTTCTACGCCACTTGCTATAGGTAAACTTTCGAATAAAATTTCAGAATGTTTCCCTTGGAAAATTAAATGTGGCTACTTCTCATTGTTTCATTGCAATAAGTTTTCCTGTAGGCATCGTGTCACTTACGGAGTTACATAGCAGAATGTCTAAAAGTCTAAATTGTTTATTTCCGTCATGACCGAATGACGCGGTTTCGTCCGAACTACAGAGAAAGATTAATATGACATGATATTTATAATACTTATGTAGACTGCATGCATGTGTGCAGGTAGGCAGTTTATTCAACATTAGATGTAAGTATACATAGCACGTAGTTTATAAATTGCGTTGATGATAATGAATTTGACAGGCGACTGCACGGTTTACGAGGTGTCTGTTGTTGTTCCCTTAATTGTTGTTCCGGCTCCAGGTACGATGCGTATCTAAAATCGTATTTTGTAAACGCACCACGAAACATATATTGCATTAAACATATATTAAAAAATAAAAACGTTCTAATAATATCTACACTTCAAAATATGAAAGTTGCTATTTATAAGTTACAGGCGCATTTTATGAATAAACACATTACCTAATACTACACTGTATTTCCTGTTTCTTAAGGCGTGGTAAATGATAGGTATAGATCTATTATAATATTATTTACTTACTAGCCTGATTGGAACAATACTGGTGAAGCATCTACACATTTGCCAGTGTCATGTTTCCATATAGTAGTAAACTCTACAGAGCCGATTGTAGCCTCAAGACTTGATTTCTTTACAATCTCATTGCTAGCTAAGCTACTACTGTCAAATCTTTTTTCACTGTTAGATCTCGTCCGCTTAAGAGGCTTCTTAACTTTGATTTCGTCTGAGCCAAGTTGTTTATACACTATTTCCATTATCTCATCTATAGTGTTCTTCTGTGTCATTAGGTATGGCAGAATTAACTTCCCAAGTTGAGGACAAGTTTGGGACAGATTGTTACAAAGAGATACAGCCAGAAAAGATGTACCTCCCAATGCAAAGAAGTCTTTATTTTTAATCTGATCATAAACAAAATTTTTGCCTAATGAAGCTTTCAGCTCTTTTATAAAGGTAACTTTTATTGAATCTTCAGTTTGTGGCATCCTAACGTGTTTTTCAAACATGTTACTCAGAATATTTTTAGATATTTTCCCATGACGATTAGTGGGTAAATTATCTACCCTTATAATTTTGTCAGGCCAATGTTTATCATCAAGTTTGCATTTCAAAAAGTCTGATAATTCTTGGCTGCTTATTGTTTCGGATGAGAAGTACACAACTAGCAGCATTGGTTTTGGTAACCATAGGCATGCACATGTTTTTACTTTTGGACACTGCATTATTGCAGCTTCAATGTTCATTAGGTTGACTTTATGGCCAAACCTCTTGATGATGTCATCCCTTCTACCTCTGTAGTATACAGTGCCACTTTTGAGTTCCCCAATGTCACCAGTATCCAGAAACTTTAATGAATTTTGCTCCTCAGTACCTTTTGACTTATTTAGAATAACACATTTTCTGGTTTTGCTAACTGAAAAAGTAACAATGCACAAGTAAGTAACATGAAAAAGTTTCATTACATAAAACATTAAGAAAGTCTTAATAAAAATAAGTTACCTAATATAATTTTTCCTGTATTGACATTATCTTTGTTGTCTTCAATAATGAGCTCTGTTTCAGAGAGACAGTGGCCTAGAGGAACTTCCCTGTCTGTTGTAATTTTGCTGAGATCAAGTTCAGCGATGCAGGCCCAACATGACATCTCAGTAACACCATACAAAGTAAATAGCCTGGTCTTGTTATCCAAGTGCTTCAATTCCTTTATTCTTTGAATACTATTGAAAGGTTCTCCACCAAGTGCTAATATTTTAAGAGTTGAGTTTTGACTTAATATTTTGTCCCTGATATCTGTATTTGAGTACTGCAAAAACTTTGATGGTGTAGTTTGCCAAATTGTGATAGAGTTCATTTTGTTTTCTGGGAATAACACATCTGTCCTGTCTGGTGCAACAAGTAGAGAGGCTCCATTCATACATGCTAGTAAAATTTCCACCATGGAAGGGTCAAATGTGAGAGGTGTTGAGAAGAAGATGACATCTGCTGGTGTGATGCTAAACATTTTAGTAAGATCATCAATGTTAGGTTGGATGCATTGAATAGGAACCTGAATATGTTTTGGCTCTCCTGTACTCCCAGAAGTTAAAGCAATAAACGAGTGTTGAGGCACATGTAGCATGCGTGGCTCATTCCCTCCATCATATTTATAAAAACATATGATTAAATCAAACACTGAAACAATTTGTTCTGGCTTTTTATCAAACACCTCTGCATTAGGATCTTGATCATTTGTCCTAATGGTCATTATTATTGTGAATCCGATATCTTTAGCTATTGCGCCTACATCTTGGGTCGGGTCGACAAACATGAATGTTGTGCAATTTTTGTGAGCTCTGAAATCGAAAAATGTTATTTTTAATCAATGGTTTATTTCATAATGATTGTGACTAAGGCACTGATAGGTACTTACGCAGCTATGACGCATGGTATGATGATATTTCTCTCTGAAACTAGTCCAATTACGCCCCTATTACATTGTAGGAGTTGTAATTTTTGCGATAAGTACTCACAGACGCCGTAAAGCTCTGAGTACGTGTAAGTCTTGTACACTCCATCCACATAGTGTCTGACGGCGATATTGGATGAATACTTAGCACATGTGTCTACAAAAACATCGTAATAACCACGTTTTACTTTCATTTGCCTTATTTTCTGATTACGGTAGCCAATGATTTATATTCTGTGGAGAATTCAACGATATCAATTGAATATCTGCAGTACGAATTCTTCCAAACATAATACTTGCGGTTCTTATGTTAATCGGTACGGTTTTTCAACAGTAACATGTTAAATAGGCACAAATGTTTACAAGTTTTGATTTTGTTTAGAGTTTGCAATCAATCATATGGGTGACCTAAACAATACTTGACAGTTCATCATTGACGTTGTCAGCTGTCAAGTCTCTTAATGTCGAAGTTTGACAGCTGTAATTATGTTTTTTTTTAATATTGGAGACTAAGTTTCCAAAGAGTTTATAAACTCTGCGTTCTATGAGTTTCTACAGAAAAAACCAAGTACATTTATTTTTCAAAGAAAAAACGACCCCAGGGCATGCGTCGGTACGAATGGGCAGGTTCAACCGTAGTGATGCCACGGCCTTCCAGAAAAGTTAATATTATTATTGTTGGTCCTATCTTATATGAGTCCCATCATAGTGGGGTTCTAAAAAGTGTGTTTCAAGTGCGTTAAAATTAAAACTGTAATAGTAAGTGTGGAAGAGCCATGCTTCGGCACGAATGGGTCGGCTCGACCGGAGTGATACCACGGCCTCACAGAAGACCGGCGTGAAACAACCACAGCGTTGTGTTTCGCCGTGTGAGTGAGGTTTTAGAGGTATGAGGAACAGGGTACAGAGAGTACCTCATCCTCCATTGAAAAGGGAGGATTCTCCGACCAGGCGAGGTGTACGAGCCTGGTGGGCTACTGCCTGAATGTTGTTGTCGGGATTTTTGTATATGTTCTAATTGCGATGAGAACTCTTATAGCGCGATGTAGACTCTTGAACGTGATTGGTGCTGTTGTTTCTGTTGTGCGATAGATGTCGCTACAAGGTTACCGGAGGCCCAATCCTTCCCCGCCCCCAATCCCTCCTCAATCCCTAAATCTCCAAATCCCTAATCCCTAAAAGGTCGGCAACGCACTCGTAAAATATCCTCCGTTGCGGGTGTCAATGGGCGGCGCTGATTGCTTACCATCAGGTAATCCGTCTGCTCGTTTGCCGACCAATTACATAAAAAAAGTAAAACTAAGCATTTAAAATTTTTCAAGTTAGGCGGCATGTATTTAAGGTACAGCTTTTTGTTGAAGCATATGATAGGTTGTTGGACTAATTAAATTTAAAGAATGTTGGCTTATTATTATGTATGTCTTTACTAATCACGGGGCCACAGAGTCTCGGTCATTTGAAGGCGTATGAGTGGCCGGAGTCAACTGTGTAGAGGCATTTTAGACAACTTTAAAAAAACTGAAATGGGATACAAATCGGCAGCTATCCCTGTATGCACTATGGAAAAACACCCAAGGGCAGTCCCCAGTTAGTGTATGACTATTGCGGACAATGGAAACAAGGGATAAGGCTATGAGTGTGGGTTGTTATGGGATGCATCACTGACCCACTCGTCACTTACGAATAGCTTCGAGCAGGATCACTACTCTCGCAACTCCACTCTGGACGGCGGGGCGTTCCTTCTCCTGTTTTTTTTCTAGGACGAGGTCGCGGTGCCTCATTTTGCTAACCCCGCAACCACGGCTAAACACCAGCATTGTGTATTAGTTTAGTATTAGTAAGTATTACACCTGTACAAAGCCAGGCAATGTCGCTAGTTTTTGCAAAAATCCTTAATATTTTACACGACTGCTGACCACCATCAGGTGATGAGTAGGATAGTTTGTTAACCATTCTATTCCATGAATAAAATCACAAGGAATTACAAAAAAAAAATTATGCGTAGGTATGTAGCTATTTTTTGAAACGTCAAAATGATATCAGTTGGTTCGTCAATGCTCGTCTGGATTCTTTGCGTTTCTCAGCTGCACTTTCAACTAATAGGCAGAATTTAGACATATATAGTACTTGACTAGACTAGACTGTGTCTGCACATGATGGTAATAAAAGGAAAATACGAAAAAATAAGCCATAGATTTTCGCACGAAACCACTATCTGGGTAATTGCATACTACAAACGTACTTAGATACTACCTTTACAAAAATATACCTAAAAGAATGGAGCAACGCTTTTATTTTTTTAAACTGAGAATAAGACACATTAAAATTGAGCTACTCGAACCCCAGGCCTTGAATAGTGTTTGGCGCAAGTGGCTTATAACGTTAACGTTAGCCTTAGGCTGGAACGGGGTTTTTAGTCAATAAGAGTCTCAGAGACTCTTATTGACTAAAAACTTCGTCCGAATAAATTTAATAATACACACTCCGAAACCGTTTTCACATGAAAATTAAATTTTAACGCCAAATCTAAGTACAGACAAAAGTGATATTATTTGGAAAACAGTTGATTTTTCATTCCTCCCCCTTATCCTTTAATCCCTAAAAACCCACAAGAGGCTGGAAACTTGTAACTCCTTTGGTATTGCGAGTATCCATGACCGGGGCCACCAGGAATGTGACTGCACGGTTGACGCGATGGCCGGGCAACTGGCTTCCGCGTAACGTGTCGCGGGTTCGATTCCCGCACGGAAGAACTCTTTTTGCAGTCCACAAATTGTTCTTTTCGGCTCTGGGTGTGATGTGTATTTGAAATTGTGTGTTTGTAAACGAACCCACGACATAGGAGTAAATATGAATTTGAGACAAAGTTTAAAAAAGAAAACAATCTATGCCAAAAAAGTTATAAAAGAGTATCGCGTAATTATCAGCCTACGAGTGTAGCTAAGTGCAGCTCACTGCTGACCTATCTCAAACGGAGAAGGTTTGAGCATTATGCCCAAGGCATATTGTTGCAAACTTATAATTATAAATTACTAGCTTGCGCCCCCGGCTTCGCACGCGTATAAAAGCAATGAATTCCAGCATTTTTAAACACTAATGTTTATAAAATACCGTTAAAAGCGATAACTCGACTAAAATACGTGAAAAACTTTTCATCTTAAATATGCGGTTTAGATTTTTCATACTTACAAATGTTTCACTAGCTAACTCCTAAGTTCCTGCTAATTCCCGCAGGAACTTTGCAGTATCCTGTTGCAACTAAGCTTAAAATTTACTAAGGTGCCAAATTTCAAGCGTCTAACTTAAACGGTTTAGATTTTTCATACAAAAGGATTTTCCCGCTTATTCCCATTCCCGTCGGAATTTCGGGAATTACTTTCTTAGTGCACCTTTACGACACCTAAGATACGTCCCTTCCAAATTTTTAAGTGTCTACGTTTAGCCGTTTATACTGTGCGTTGTTTCTCTTTTTAGATATTTAGAAGTTAGAAGATAAGTCCAGGATTCCTCACGATGTTTTCCTTCACCGTGTATAATGACAAATCATTGGTGTCTAAATACACATCAATCATCATCGATCAGTTTATATCGATAGAAAATATTGCTTTAAAATCATTTTTCTATGTTTCCAGATCTTGCTAGGCGAAATTGCTTCCTAACTCCAAGTGATAACGATCTGCGTTTCCAATAACTAGGTCGTCTATGTCTCAGTGCGAAGTCTGAACCGCTGTAAAATAAAACACGAATAGAAATAATATTATACAAACCGTTCTAAAAACCACGTCTGTTTTTCATTTATTTTTATTTTCGATTCACGATAATACTGTAACGTTAAAATAAGAAAGGTACTGTAACGTTTTGCATAGCCTAGTTTAGGACCGGAAAGCGAATTTTCAGAATTTCTGTTACCATTTTTAGAGACTCGATTTAATTATTGACAGGAAGGCGAAAGATGGAGTTATTTCCTGTTTATTTGAGTACGCGTTATTGAGGGCTCGCGTTCGCGAAGAGAAGGAGAACGCAAGTCGAATAATAACTTATTATATTTAGAGCAAAAAATCGGTTTAGATACATATATAGAAATAAAGAACTCCTAGCATCAAGAGATATTATTTATAAATCTTAAAATTAGCTGCCAAAAAAGTTAAAATCCTCAGTTCTATGGATAATAAAATTCGAAATAAAACTAGGAAAGTTTGTTAACAGCAAGTTGTACGAGTAAATCCATAGAGGTCCAGCTTCATCTGTATACTGCTTGTATTCCATAGCAGTTTACTGAGCCTCAGTTAAGATGATGTTTCTAAGAACGGGGCGCAGAGGCTCTGCGGCTGAACTGACCTAAAACGTGTTCGGCAAGAGAACGGGCCCAATCAATTAGGGGCGGTCAGCGATCCGCCAGAAAAGAGGGCAGCGCGCGCGCTCTCCGAGGAAACTCGGGAAATGGTGGCGGGGGCTGTGCGCGGGCGGGGTGGGGCGGGGCGGGGCGGGGCGGGGCTGCTGCCGGAGGGTGCGTGTCCGAGAGGCGCGAGCGAGCATCGATCGAGCCGCGCTCAGTCCGCCGGGGCGGCCGGCGAGAGCGCGCGTATCATGCGCTGTCGCTGAGATGGCCGGCGCTCGGGCGCTCGTCACCGCCTGCTGCTGCTGGTGGTGGCTGATGACCGCAGCCGGTGAGTACTCCCATCATACTCTACCTTCGCTACTCCGTATAAATTTGAACCCGATCAGCTGATTCTCACGTCGTGACCTCCAGAACGGCTGATTTCGTCGACACATGACTTTTCACGATTTTCCCCCGGTGTCGCGTACGTTACATGCTTTTCGTAGCGTTTTCATTAAAACGGACGTGTTCTGTGTGTGATTTATGTAAAGCCACCCGTATACTTTCGATTAAATACGTTCGTGGTCAGGTGCGATGCATTGGTTCCAATAATTTACATTAATTGAATTGGATTCAGGTGTCTGTTGTTAATATCCATAAGGTTATGTTAGGCCTCACGGCTCGAAGTATGTAGAGGCGCCATGTAGCTCTGATAGTAGGTGCTTGATTAGCCATAGAATTATTATATAATAGTGCGAGTGAGGTGTCGCATGCAGCGCCGGGTGCCAGCAGCCGGCTAGCGGCCGGCCGCCGGTAGCTGGGCAGGCTGAGCTCGTCCTTGCAGCTACCACTGGCTAAACAAACTTTGATATTATTACGTAATGCGACGGTACTGTGACACATCTGCGTCAATATTGATCATAATCACGCCACTGTGGACTGAGGAAGTCAGGATTACATGCAGGCGAGCCGCGAGACGAGCGTAGACACCTGCCGACAATCGGCCACTGTCAAGTAAGCACCGACATGCGACACCTCGTATTATTACTATTTGGGGGGGCCATTTGAATACACTGTCTGTTGTCATACAACTCACACTTACTAACTCTACACGCACACAAAGTAAAGTTTTAAAATTTTTGCGAAATTTTGTAAATAAACTTTTAAAAATTTAATCTCTTTTAAAAGACTTCAACGCGCTAAGTTTAAATTATGTATGGACCTCACTGCACTTTTTATTAAAAAAATCGCTAAGTTTTATATGCATAACTTATTAATATATAAACTTTAAATATTGATTAAACCAAGGTTGTCATTGAAAATAATAAATAATTTCAAATTACTGTAAGGTTTTCGTATATTCTGTAAAATGTTTGGGGAATTCCGCCATTATGTTGTTTAGAGCTGATAATGGAGTATCTAATGTTTGTCCCCCAATGATGTAACATATTGATATCATGTCGAATTATTTAGATATTACTTACAAGTACCCCGGACAGGACGTCCGTCATAAAATTCGTACCTTATCGATTGATTACTATTTTTTGCTCATTTAAAGCCGAAAAGTTGTGCGAACTTGTTTATATTCAAATGAAAAGTCATATAAAATGCAGTACAATAAATAAAAAGCTATTAGATGATATGGTAACCGAAAACTATTTTGTATTATAAAGTTTCGTAGTTCTTTTTAACAAGTATCTAGTCAAATTGTAGCTTAAACTGAGTACCTACAAATTTTCCATGTTCTACCAGAACCTAACTAACGAACTAATGAGTTGCTTACTAATTGATATAGATATATATTGTATATCTACTAGATTCAGTTTTCGGCTATGCAAGCATATAAAAGTAATGTAGCTGATAGCTCAACTAAAATACGCAACTCAAGTATAGTTTATAGTCTATAACTCTCAGTAACATCGTAGCTATCAGTGAAAGAATTTTGGAAATCTGACCAGGGGTTCCAAAGATTGCCTTAAATTTTACCTTTTTTTAATATTATATATGAAAATGAATTGCTGGTCGTTAGTCTCGCTAAAACTCGAGAATTAGTGGAAGTCTTAAATACCTTCCCTGGACTGTTACTGTTAGGCATTACGAAGTTTACCTCGTCAACTAGTATTAGTATACATGTATAATATAATGAAACCTATCACATTGCAGGTAATTCATGCGACCTTATAATATAGGTATTAATGCAAGTTAATGCATTCTGTGCATTCAAAAACCTGATTGAGATTGATTTTATGCTCTAATAGTAAATCAAGAATACTCACCATAAACCAATAAAAAATTACAGATAAAAGTAATTTATAGAAAGATATTTCTTTTCAAATGCTACAATAATCCTACAAAATCAAAGCATCTATTATGTAAACTTTGAAGTACACATAAATATGAAATTTTGTAGCATTTTTTAAACGACAATGTTGCATTTTTATTGTCATTTTTCTTACTCACATAAACTTGAATTGTAATGCGACATGGAATAATGCCTTTAATACTATGTTAAGGCAACATGTTACCTTTAATGTCCAAAATGTTAGAACGATGCATTTATAATTAATGTCCAAAATGCTCCACTATTCTAAGATCTTTGAAGTTCGTATTTTGAATATTTGAAATGAAGAAGCAATGTTTTTAATTTGTTGCCACATTTGGAATTTCTCTCGTGGCTCGTCGTCTCGAGGCTCGTTTGCAAAAATACAATTTCACAAAGATTTGTTCCATACGGGAAACGCACCTACAACACGTTACGCGACAGCCGAATGCCCAAATACCGCGCTAACTGTGTAATCAAAATCACAGTAAACCAAAGCATACAGCATTAAATAAAAATTACAGGCGTCTTAATTAACTTTTTGAATGTCTTTTTATTGGAACTAAGTATCACTATTAGATCTAAAAAGTATTAATTATTCTGGAATAAAATGCTGTCAATAGGCGTTTTCAATCTTAATATTTTCTTAAAATCATGCATCTCTGGCAAAGCCGCATTGCTCGCTTCCCCAGACAAAAGCTTAAGTTTCATTAGTATAAAGTTCAGTTATATCGACTTTGAAATTAACGTCCCAGTTTCCAAAGAAAGTTTTCCTTAAAACTTGGGAAACTGATAAGTGAAACTCGTCGTTTATCATCGTTCGAGTGACACAAGAATTTTTAACTTGGAAAATGTGCCAGTTAATAGATATTCGAAGAAAATTCTTCGAACTAATTATAGTAGCCAAAATATTGCTTGTAACTTAGTTTTGACATTGTCTTGTATATGTATCAAATTCTCGTGTCACAATGTTGGTTACCTTACTCCTCCGAAACGGCTTTCCTGATTTTTACCAAACTTTATATGCATATATTCAGTAGGTCTGAGAACCGGCTATTAGCTATTTTTTATACCTCCGTGATTAATAATTTATATGGCAAAACAACGTTTGCCGGGTCGGCTAGTATTATTCTGAAACAAAAGCATTTTCACATATTATTACCCATGTGTATAGTGATACCATGACTTGGAAACGAGACCCTAGCTTGCCAGTACGCGTGGTTCAGCTATTTTAATATTACAACGTGTACATATTAGCTAGATTTCCTCATTAAATTTTAATAAGATTGCCTCCGTGTTGTATTCCCTCGCCCTCTGAGCCTCCTTTTGCAGCGTTACGTAAGATTCTCATTGAAGTTTCACTATCTGGTCCCGCGAGCCGCGGCCGCCTCCAGCCATCTCATTCAACTTTTATTACTTTCGTATTGTCGGAAAACTTCGAGCTAAGAGCACTAATCAAGAATTTAGTGCCTACTCCTTGTTAAGTAATGGTATTAACTAAGAGGTAGTTAAAATACAGTTACCTAGGCTTCTTTGAAGTTGAAATAATGGAAGTTTGTAAAATAATTCACTTTTGTTGCTTGATTAATAAAAAGGATATTCTACTGTCATTTCAAACCAATTCATCTGTTAGAATGTGAGGGGATGGTGTACAAAATCTGAATAGAACTTTAATATATTAAAATGACTGTCATTTTGTGTCAGTAAACTTTTTGTCTCGTGGCGACGAACGGTATTAATCACTTGCGTCAAAAGCCATCGGGTTAAGAGTACGATGTACAATGTAGGTTACAAGTTGGCATTAAAAATTTAAAACGTATTAAAGCATAATCCAGTTGTGCCTTTGCCAAGTTTTGGCAAGAAATGCACATCGCACAGAACACATGAGGCGTAGCGCTAATGTAAATTTTATTTGTACGTTTCGTTAAAAGTTATGTCATTGTTTGGAAATTTATTTATTTTGAATATGTTTAGGATAGTTTGTAGTTTAATACCTTTTACGAAGTATTTATTTTACACCACTTTATGACGTCTAACTAGTTGACTGCCAGAAAATAATTATTAAGTTTTTAATTTCGGTTATTCAATCTTGTATATTACATCTGTATTGGAAAAGGGTTTACCCAGATTCCTCAATGTAATTTTACGCTCTTCGTATCCCATTAGGGGCGATACGAGATATTTGGTAACAACCTAATATCAGATATATTATGTTGTATGTGATCATACTACATAGTAATAATTCTGTTGGTAACAGCGTGCCCGCTATCTAATCTTTTAAATCTGTTTGCTCAGAATAATCCTTTGTTAGCTACGAATTCTGCCGCCAATCCGGTAGACACTGCTTATTGCAAGTGTTCTTTTAATACTTTTTATCAAATGTACAATTATGATTTTTAACTCTCTAGATGTTCTAAAAAAGTTACGTTAATTTATTATATATTTTATAGGATTTCTGCGGTTTACTGCGTAGACGGACAGTATATGAAACTTAGCTTACACACACCGTCAATGACAATCCTCTATATGAACATTTGGTTGTTTAGAAAGTAAATTTGGTGACTCTGACAAGAACAATGTTGTAAATGCATTGCAGTGTAAAGTCTTAAGTAAATCATAGTAGAAGGAAATTAAACCCGCATTAATATTTACACAAAATAGGTACTCCTGGACCCATCTAGATCTAATTAAGTTATTAGTGATTTCTCCCTCCAAAGAAGGTATAAGATTTTCATTTCAACCACATTCAACTAAAGTATATTCTTGGAAATCCTTGGGCGTGGGAACTTCAATCTAAAACAAATACAAAAGTATTTATGTACCGCTCTGCAAGTATTGACTCTGCCGCACTGGATGCATCACCCCTCCGTTCAACTGGAGGCGGCATGTACCGAATACAGTACAAACTACAAACAATACAATCAATACCAAAAACTTTAAACGCGAATTAAAACTATAGATGTCTTAAAACGGTGGATGGATGAATAGTGGTGGGGGATTATAAACGGTGGTGGAACGGCGGCACAAGC